GACCCATACAAAAGGACTCATGTTTGTTTCAAAATGCAGTCTCTCAAAGTTTGGATGATTCTTTCTTGGTTATTAGAAAATAATAAATGTATGCTTGTTCCTATTTTACAGATCAAGTCTGTAAGGCAAACTTTAGTCATCTTAAATTGGCCCATTAGATAACTCTAAGAGAATAATTGTATGAGTGAATAAAAAGGACTGACCTAGAGGAGAATACAGCCCGATTTTCAAGACACGTTTAGTATCACTTAAATTGAGGATATAGACATGTTAAATAAATCGATTGAGCCAACTAATTATTAGAAGAGAATGTCTACTCCCCAAAATATTTTGAAAAATCTCAAATGTGCTTATTGCTTTCCACTATATTGTTTACTATATAGTAAATTGACTGATTAGAAAAGTATAGGAGCAAAGTGAAAATGAGGAGATATATGTCCCCTTTTTTGCTCTCACTGACCAGCCACGGAAGAAGTCTTCAGATGGTAATGCAGTCTAATCTCAGTTTCCCACTATTCTTAATCACCTGTATTTGATTAAAGAGCTTTGCATATCTGTAGAATAATTAATTTTTTTCAAAACTAAGAGAAATAAAATCTATGGAAGGAGGGCTTACTGGCCTGGATTCTTTTAATCCTGATATACGACCAATTGTACATATACATCTTGAACAATTCACCACCACTAATAAATATACTTATTTCAGTATATGGATTTTAAATGAACCAATAGTCAGCTAGTACTTTCACCTTGATTAAAAAGATATAGTGAATTTAGAACAGGCTCTTTATTTAACAGGCTTAAATGCACTTAACACATTAACATTTAGAGTAAGATTAAAAGTTAAAGTACCTTCTGCACTTTCTACTTAGACGTTAAAAATAAATGTAGTTTGCATTGTCTCCAAAAGCATAAGCCAAATTTTAGTTTATGACTTGAATAAAAAAACTCATTTTCACAAAACTGTTCCCATTCCATTGGGAACAAATTGTTAATTATAAATTAAAATAAAATATTTGTTTTAAACATAAAAGGAGACATTATTGAATATTGTTCTGTATTCTATAGATGATAGTGAAGCACCAGTAAATTCATTTTTATAATACATTCTCATATTAACCCCCCCACCCAAAAAAATAAGTTCTTCTCCTAAGAAGATACAATGTGATACTTGCATTTTCTTTAATGCTTATTTAATTCTGGAAATTTTAGTAAATTCCTCTCAGATTTACTTAATACTGTAGGAAAATTTTCTTCCTAGTCAATTGCACTGATGTCTCTGTCCCACAGTCAAAACCTTTCAGCAGCTTCCTGCTGACAGAATAAGCCAAACCTCTCTGCACCCTCCACAGGCCTGAGTAACCTTCCTCCTCCCCCTCCCCTTCTGTAATCATGCTGAGCTCCAGACACAGGTCCCGCCTAGCCCCAGCATGTGTCCCTCCTCTGCTTTACTGCTCACATATCTCTTCTACATAGAAGATCTTCCCTTTTGACCTCACTGAAGTCACTACCAACACCCTATTCCTTCCTGACCCAGTTCCAACTCCTTGTCTTCTAAATGCTTACATCCATACTTCTCACTTCCTATTTGTCTAGTTCCTTTCCTGGGGCCCTTGTTATTTGAGGTCTTGTTTGTCTACTGCTTTGGGCACAATAATCATTTCATAGGTCTTTACTGTGCCCATCTGACATTTCTTAGAAGCTCAGGCTCTAATATGAAACTGCCTAAATTAAAATCCTGCTTCCATCACTCAGCAGCTATAGGATTCTTTCTGTGCCTCGGTTTCCTAATTTGTATATTGGCATAACAATAAAGCATGTCTTATTAAGTCATCAGAGAATTAATGATTCAACATACGTTAAGTGTACAGCACAGAGTTTGCTAGTTAGGCATCAATCAGTATATAAACTAAAGAAAAAAATCCTAGATCTAAATAGGTAGATTTTAAAATGTACTCTCTAAACCACAAGTTAGAATTACTTGTATATAGAAGGATCAATGAAATAATCAGCTCAAAGTATGCCAGTGATAATGAGGGTCATAGCATTTAAAAAAAACATATTTATATCTCCATGTAACATTAGAGATCAATTAATTTGGAAATGGCAGGTGGAGCATAAGATGTCAAGACAAGCACAGGAATACACTGTGGGGTCTGATGGCTTCCCCGATTTATCTGTCAAAGAATCAAAAATAAATCAGAAATGAATCTGAATCAGATCAGCCACACTGAATGGCAGCAGCTGAAGTATCATATTCAATGCACCGTGCCAAGGACTCCAAAATCCGTAAGGGGAAAAAGGACCAGCCATGCTGCTTCACAAGGCAAAGACCTTTCATATTGGCATATATTTCCAGATGTGCCACAGCCCATTTATCCTAGAAACAAATAAAGTAAAATAAATCAAGCACTGTCTATCTCGAAACACCCTGTGGTTCCTCATCCTCCAAAAGGAAAAAGCCAAGTTCTTCAAACTTTGGCTTTCCAAGTCCTCCAGGGTCTTTTCCTGTTCTGCATCTCAATTTTCTCCACCTGACTCACACCATTCCATCCACAATAGTACCCAGAGATTTATGGAATCTGACAATCAAGGTCCTGCTGCAAAGCAGGAAACCTGCATGAAAGTTTCCCCAGATATCATAAGACTCACTTCCTCATCTATATTCTCGTTCAAATGTCCCCCTTTTTTGTGGCTCTCACTGGCCAGCCATGGAAAATTGCACTCCTCCCTCTGCCTGATTTTTCCCCATCTAACATACTGTGTACAATTTTTGTGTCATTTTGTATATGTCTCCTCTTCTACACATCTTGAAGCCATGAGCTCCAAGTGAGGAGAGAACACCCCTGAGGTCATCATTGGCGCTGTGTCACCTAAAACAGCGCCTGGTGCACAGTGACATTGGATCAATGCCTATGGACAGAATGATCAACAGACCTTAGGAAAGCTATCATGAACCTGAAAAAAATGTCAAGATGAATGGCTATTTGTATTTCAACCAGCTCTCCGACAAAACATTTCACCTTATATTTTGGAGGAATGTTTTGAAAAATGATTTAGTGTAAGTCAATGGTTCTACACTGGGAGGGATTTCCTGACTCTTCAGGATCTTTGGAAATGTCTGCAGATGACTTTGGTTGTCACAGCAGTAGTGGGTGGCAGCTGCTATCCATTGGAAGTCATGTAAGTAAGTTATGTAAGCACGTAAGTCAAAGATGTTTCTGGACATTCTACAGTGCAACAAGAAAGCTCCATGTGATGAAGACTATTCTGGCTCCAAATGTCAACAGTGTTAAGGTTGAGAAGCCCTGATGTAGCTGAAGTTAAGTTCTTAGATCTGCCAAGTAGAGCATGCGGGAAGAAAAAGAGAAAGAGGGAAAAAAGCAAGTAGACTAAGTGAGTTGTTGCAATTGTAGACCACAGGCATGAAACTTTTACAAACAAAAGGGGAGAGTTTTGAAAAATTAGCAAACGTGTTCACCTTGCAAGAAATAAAATGTGCTACTAAGATTTATGCATGAAAGTAAGAAGAGAAATGTCAAAAAAAATTAGTGAATGGAGGAAAGTGAATTATAAAGAAGAGCTTTTTCTCCTAGTACCTTTAGGGTCTCTAAAAGTGTGCCCCATATTCCTGTTACATGTATTCTTTCAGGAATAACTGACAACGC